GGTGACGATGTCGTGGTAGTAGAAGTGCAGTTTGGTTATCTTTTGTTTCGCTTTTGGAAGGTTTTCAAACCACCGATCTACCCCGCCCGGCCCGAAAGTGACCCCGGACAGCACCGGCACGGCGGCGGAGGCACCCACAAGTATGCAAACTAGCATCAGAGCATCTACTCCCATCTTGCCCATATATCCCTAGCTAGCTTCTCCCTTAATATTTTTAGCATTTATTTACATGTGTGTATATATATATATATATATATATATATATATATATATATATATATATATATATATATATATATATATATATATATATATATATATATATATATATATATATATATATATATATATATATATATATATATATATATATATATATATAGTTTGGTTCCGGTGAGAAAGGGATCTAATGAAAGAAATAAGAATGTCTTATAGCCATTAGATCTTGATCCATCTAGATGATTTTTATGATTTACATACGGGGCATTTTGGGATTTTTACTTCTTAGTCGTACCTTTCCTATTACGTCTCCTTATGATTTGCGCAGGATCCCCACACTTTTTGTCTTCCGTTTCTTCATCTGCAAAGCAATTCTCCTTTTTTCTTCATCAAAGGCTAAACTTTGCAGAAGTAATTGAGGTTTGTTCTCCTAATTTTTTTCAATTTCTTGATCAATTCATCATCAACCCATGTTTCTTTTTAATTTTATGACTTTTCTTGAGGTGGTGCAAAATTTCTCCGAGGTTTGAGATCGGAAAAACACTCCCAAAGATATGAGATTTTATGTGATTTTTTTGTTGGTTTCCTTTCGTGGTTGTTTTTTCTTGTGTTGCTGTTAGTCTATTTGCTCAATTTTGGTTCCAAGCACTATGATGAATACAAGGTGTTTGATAAAATGCCTTAAAGAATCAAATGAACAAAATTGGTGATGAGGACAAACCTAATGCAGGCGAGGGATCTCTTAATCCCTCAAAACAACCTCAATATGCATTTCCATTAACTGATTTTAGACACAATCAGATTTCTCACACAAGGTTATGCATTCTTGTCGTGAATAATTTTGAAAACAATCTTTTGTTTGCTTCTTTATTTATTCTAATATTTAAGTTATGTGTATTTTTCTATGAATATATATCAACTCTTGAATCAATGTTTTTGTTGCTTCTCTTGTACTCAAGTTTTAAGGTTCTGTGCATTCTTATAGTCAAGGTAATGCATTCTTACTTCACAGTGTTGCAAAATGTGAGGTTTGTTTTTGTTAATGTAAATTTTTGTATTGCTTTTAGCACATTAAAATTACATTGCATTTTAAGAGGTGTAGTAAAAACTCAAATATCGATTCATGGAGTAAGATACATGAAAATGCATATATTGTACTCTCTAGCTATGCATCACAGAGAATTTAAAGTGTATCGTAACATGTTTTCCATTGTTAGGGCTGTTAATTAATGTTTAATGAATAATGAGTATGTGTTTGTGCTATTGTGCATTACAGGAATGCATGTAATGCACTTACATGATAACACAATGCATTCTTAGAAACAAGGTAAAGGATTATGCATTCTATTAATACAAACTTTTAGAATCAAAGTAAAATTAATTTATGAGATAGTGAAATTCTCCTAGTAATAATATGTTTAAAATACCTTGTGATACACTTGAATATGGGTTAGAAACAATTTGAATGTTGTAATTTTTAAAAGATAAAAAATGCTTATTTAATAAGTCTAGATTACTCCATCCATTTTCTTTTATCGTTTTTACCTTTGAATTGTTTGTTTTTTAATGATATTGTGCATCATCTGTATCACGGTAATGCATTTTTATGAAAAGGCAATACATTATCATTATTAAGATAAATGAATGCATTCTGTTGTACATTTTAATAGTCAAAGTTGATGCATCTGATATTGAAATTCTCCTGTACCAAGTATGATGTACTTATATGTTCTACAAAGTAATTTTTTTTATAAATGATGATGCTATAAAGTGTTCTTTGTTAAATTTGAATAAAAAGTTTGAAACACGTTGAATGGTGCAAATTTTAAAAGATAAAACTACATTTGAATAGGTCCGAGTGCAAGATTAGAGTCTCTTTGAAAAAATAAATTATTGCCTATTAGCTCAAAGGATAGAGCGGTATGTACTACGGATGTGGGTTCGAATCCCGCATAGGCAAAATATTTTCTAAAATTTTTATTACACTTGTTCTAAATACATAGTACAATGCATTCTCAAACTTTCTCAACACATACATACAAAGTCACTTACAAGACAATATTCACTAATCCACAACAATAAGTCAAAAATGCATGCATAATTTATAGTATATATTGCATTTATATAGGAGAATGGTGCATAGAGAAGAAATTATCACGTGAGGAAAAATTTATGGATACAAATTTTTTAAAAGAAAGGGATAAAAATTAAAAAAAATAGGTGATTAAATATGCAAAAGAAAAAGTTGTAAACCACATAATATTTTCTTTCAGAAAAATTTAATGCAAATAAAAGAATTTCTTGCACCGTGAGAAATGTAGTAAAATAAAGCAAAAAAGAAATAAAATATTACAAAGAGTTTAATAGCAAACATTAGACACAATTGTTTTTAATAAAAGAAAAATGGTTAACAAATTTAAAAAGATGAGAAAAAAAAGTGTAATTTAACTATCCATTAATACGGCTAAAAAGGAAAAAAAGAGAAAAATCATCAAAAGTGGAACTCCAATTGCGGCTGAAAAAGTGGAACCCCATGTTTACGTTTTTTTATGTGTACAATAATGCCCCTACACAATTATTTTATTCCTAAATTGATGCTATTTACCATATTAATCAAGCAATGGCGCTAGTTTTAAGATCAATTTTGGGCCCTTAGATTTGCAATATCAATGGATATCATTTATTCTTATTTTTTTCACCAAGCATCCTTCTCACATGAACCAACCCCTATATATATATATATATATATATATATATATATATATGCACCATCCTTTCCATCATCTCTGATGGAGCCAAAATTTCACCATTTTTTGGCTTTGGGGTGTGATGGAATAAATCAAAATGGATCTCTAAACTGTCTGCGCTTCTTTAATTAATGAAGTAGCAGTTAGTCAAGCAATGCAACTTTCGACGTTGAGCCGGGGGTCTCTTTGGAAACAGCCTCTCTACTTTCGAGTAGGGGCAAGGTCTGCGTACACACACCCTCTCCAAACCCTACTCTTGTGGGATTTAACTGGGTTGTTGTTGTTGTTGTATGTATGCACCATCCTATTTGTAGACTATAATATTCCTCCCAAAGTCAACTTTTCACTCTTTTCTCTTGTTCGTTCATACTTGGTACTATGGGCTTTTTCTTTTACTCTCTTTCAAAGAATTACTGGAGTATTTTTCCATTTTTTTGCAGTCAACAGTTTTCAATTCCTGACCTATAATTAAATAAAATATATGTTGTATATTAATTAGATAAAATAATTTTTTGAAAATATTTGATATAATAAATCTAATAAAACTATTTTTGTATCAATATCTAATACTCCCTCCGTCCCTAAATAAACTTTCAGTACGTTTTGACTTTTTGAGGATTTAAGAGAGATATATTTTGAAGTTGACTTTTCAGAAATACCCTTGATGTGATGTGTAAAAGTAGGATGTGATTGGTAGATTATTAGTAAAAAAAGTATGATGTGATATGTAGGATATGAAAAAGTAAGGGGTAAAAGGGGGTTTTTAAGGAAAAAGAGAAGTTTATTTGGGGACAAAGAAAAAACGAAAGAAGAAGTTTATTTAGGGACGGAGGGAGTATCATTTTTATTTAATTTGAAAAAAAAATTGACTAGAAAAATTAAAAGTTGACAAATAATCAAGGGCGGAGAGAGTAATTTGTTTGTAGACATGATTTCAACTCATTATATTTGTCATCAATGTCATAAGATGACTTGAGATTCTTATAACGTCCCATTTGAAAAATTAATGATTCCATATAACCATAACCCCCCTTAAACTACCATCTTGCCTCACTCATTTGCCGATTGACCATAATAATCACTGTAGTAAATCAACGAGGGGGCTAGAGGGTGCAAGTTGTTTAGAAGAGATTGAATCATCAAGGTCCATTAAAGTCCTAGGTCATCATACGACATTGTTCACCAATGTCATATGAGTTGCCCCATTATTTATATATAAACTATTCTAATGTACTTTTTAATATCTGCAACCACCTTACTTTAATTTTGTTAAATACTCCGTAACGTAACACACAACTGTCTCGCTTTGTTTTTCCGTTCGCCTAAAAAGTGTTGCACTCTATTAGAGCCTATTTCTTTTTTGTTGAAAAAATAATTGGATGTGGGAAGAAACATATAAAAAATTAAAATATACTTGAAAACTGAAGTCATTTTTCTATAATAGCACTTAATTGATTGAACTTTTTTATTCAATGTTTTTATAATAGTGAAATATATGTTTATAAAATCGTTTCACTAAGTCCTTCTCAAACCTTCAATCATTACTCAAATATTTATTTGATTGAACTTTTTTATTCAATGTTTTTAAATTAAGATAATGCGAAAAAAAATTATTAAAGAAAGGAACATGTACTCCCTCCGTCCCTAAATAGGTTACAATTTTTTCTCTCTCTCATCTCGATAACTTTTGTTTGTTTACGCGATTTCATTAAGTATTTGATAAAATAAAATATTCTTGTCACCTCTTGTTTTGTAGAACTTTTGATAAAGTTTTTTAATATGTAATTTTTATATCTTATTGATATACCAATTTGTAAATAAAATGATTTCAAAAAGTATGAAATTTTACTCTATAACCCGCAATTTGTAATCAAATTGGGGAGGAGGAAGTATGTAATACTCCCTCCGTCCCGTAAAACATGAGATGTTTTGTTTTTTGAAGAGATTTAAGGAAAGTGTATTTTGGTATTGAATTTCCAAAAATGTCTTTTGATGTGATGGATAATAGTAGAATTTTATGGATAGATTATTACGAAGTACTAAAAAGGTATGATGTGCTAGGTAGGGTAATAAAAAAGTAAGGGGTAAAAGTGACTTTTTAATAGAAATAAGAAGTGTTTTTTGGGACGGATGAAAAAAGAAAGGAGAAAGGTTTTCAGGGACGGATGGAGTATTTAAAAACTAGTGAAAAAACAAGTAATCAACAATCCTAAATTATTATCTATACATCTATACATTATTTAAAAAGACATGAATTTTTTCCCGCCCATGCATGACACTCATATATGGAAAGTTTTGATAACATAAATGGTAGTTTAATTATTTTACCTTAATGTTTTCCTTCCATTTTAAGTATGTTTTTATTTTTATTTTTATTTAAATGTTACACCATTTAAGCATTTAAATTAAATTAAACTAAATAGTAGTGAATCATTGGGGAATTGAAGTTGGAAATAAAATACACTGGCATTTAAATATTAAAATAAAATTTAAAAATTACAAATTAATATAGTATGTGCAGGAGTAAAATGATTCATTTCAAACAAACTACAAATTAATTATTTATCATTAAAAAATATTATAATTTACAAGCACAGACGCGTAAAAATGGTAAGTTTTCTAAAATAGATTAAAAAATAAATATGGTACGGTAAGTAGATGATAACATTTAAATAAAAGAATAAAATAAAAAACTACAAATTAATATTAATACTATAATTTAAAAGAATGGAAACGTTTTAAAAATGACAAATGTTCTTATTATAAAATTAGAAAATAAATAGATATGGTATGGTAAGCAATTAGCACCATTTAAAATGAAAATAAAATAAATGGTAAGTTTTCTAAAATAAATTAGGTCAGTGTTCTAATATAAAATAGAAAATAAAATACTCCCTCAGTCCCCAATTTCAATACAAATTCCGGGTTACGGAGGAAAATTTCTTACTTTTTGAAATCATTTTATTTACAAATTGATATATCAATAAGATATAAAAATTACATATTAAACAACTAAGTCAAAAGTTCTACAAAACAAGAAGTGATAAGAATATTTTATTTTATCAAATATTTAATGAAATCGCGTAAGCAAACAAAGTTATCGAGAGGAGAGAAAAAAATTATAATCTATTTAGGGATAGAGAGTGTACATCTAAAAATTATAAGTGTTCCAAAATAAATTAGAAAACAATGTGGTTTGGTAAGTAATTAGTACGATTTAAATGCGAAAATAAATTAAAAAACTGCAAAATTAATATTAATACTATACTTTAAAAACATGATTTTTTTTAAAAAGGAAAGTGTTCAAATTAGAAAATTAGAAAATAAATACAGGATGGTATGTCACCACAATAAGCAAAAGGTACCATTTAAACACAAAATAAAATAAGTGGTAAGTGTTCTAAAATAATTTAGGTAAGTGTTCTAAATAAATTAGAAAATAAAATAATTATTAAAACGATAAGTATTCTAAAATATATTAGAAAATAAATATGGTACGGTAAGTAAATGATACCATTTAAATAAAAAAATAAAATAGAAAACTACAAAATAATACTATCAATTAATACTACAATTTACAAGCATGGTAACGTGTAAAAATGGTGAAGAGGATATCAACCATCTTTTTTGGGATTGCCCATTTGCCAAGGAGCTGATCAGTAAGGTACTAGAACCAATGGGATGCATACTCCAAGCTGCCAGATTCCATGAATACTATATCAAGTTAAGCAAGCATGGCACAAGAAGGGAGAGAAGAATCTGGATCGCAACGTGGGCTGCCACCTGCTACACAATCTGGAAGGCTAGAAACATTATATTAAGTGGCACCAAAAGGAGGAAATGAGGGTGGATGAGTGTGTAGCCTACATTAAGTTTAATATTAATTGTTTCATTAGTAGTAAGATGAGGAAGAGTAGCATGTAATCCAGTAGGTAGGTTTGTGGAGGTTGGAGTATTGAGGTTTGTATGACCTACTATTTTGATGAGTTAATAAAGTGTGCTGTGGTTCAAAAAAAAACGTGTAAAAATGGTAACTGTTATAAAATAAATAAAAAAATAAATATGGTACATTAAGCAAATGGTACCATTTAAATGTAAAAATTAAAAAATTATAAATTAATACTATTAATTATATAAGCATGGAAACATGTAACAATGATATAAGTATTCTAAAATAAATACTATTAATACTATAATTTACAAGCATGGATACGTGTAAAAATGGTAAGTGATCTAAAATAAAATAGAAAATAAATACCATAGGGTAAGTTAATGGTACCACTTAAATACGAAAATAAAATTAAAAAATACAAATTCCAAAATAAATACATTAATATGTTGAAATATCTATATTCCATTATATAACAATTTATATTCTTAAAAATGATCTTAAGTTAGTACCGTAACTATGACCTGTGCAACGCACGGGTGTGATTCTAGTACGAAGTAAAAAACAAATAGTGCAAGATAAGAGCATTGACAATGGCAAGGTAAAAAAGAAATGCCACACGGTGACATGTATTATTTAAACCAATAAAAAGTAACCCAGTCACCGTGTGGCAAATGAGTGGATTGTCGTAACATACAGTGGCAAGTCGTTGTTTTTGTTTATTTTTGCAATTTTTAATGATTTTTAATTATAAAAAATTATTTTAAAAATCTATTTTATTATTAAAATATGTTTACTTCTTTTAAAAAAATATTTTTTTCAAAAATTACAAATATTAAAAATATTAAAAAAATAAAAAATGAGAGAGTCATGCCTTGCACATGGAATGAAAAGTGAAGTGGAATGACCATGAAATGCTATGATTTGAGTGGAATTTGCTGACATGGGATGGCAAGGCAAGGCATTGCCTTGCCATTGTGGATGCTCTAAAACCTAATTGTACTCCATATAAAATACCGCGGTTTAAAAAAATCATGTTTTTTGGTGCCACGTTTCAAAACATTTTGATTTGGGTCATGCTACACTTACACAAAAACTTCTATCCCAAATTTACACCAAAAATATATACTAATATTTTGATGGTTCAAACTGACACAAAGTGTTGATGCATTAACAAAAATTAATATTATACCAACACAAAATATTGGTGCATACCTGCGATGTGCAAATGACATAGAAATCTTTGGGATAGAAGTAGCTTTACTTTTTTTTATTCTTGACAACATTAACGCCTTGTCCAGCGTGAATTAGGAAGTCCACACCCTTACACATGGTTCATAATTGAATCAATTAATTAAGGTGCATTCATTAATTACGGCATAATC